AGGTGGCTTTTGGTCTTGTTCATGTATACAAGTTAGGCCCAAGACATGTTCTGTTTCCTTAGTTACATCTGCCATGGACGGCCATCACCTTCAACTAGTTTGGAAAAAGATGCATTGTTTTGTGACTTCTGTGTCAAGTCACTGTTACATAAGTTGAAAAATTAAAATGTTTGGCTTTTGAAGAGTGAGAAAATAGGTTTGTTGTCCCTTGGTCCTTGCACTGAACTTCTTGATGCTACTTTGCAGAGAAAGTGTGCAATAGTCATAAATTCGTGAGCTTATATCGTCCACAATTTTGTGGACCTTGGACTCTATTACAGTTGTCCCAACATTTATATCTTTCTCAGCCTTTTTAATTTTAAGTGGGCTTTTATAGGATCTATACCGAAAATGTATTTTGGTAACATTTCTCCCTCTTTTTCCACATGAAAATTTCCACCAAAGTTCAAACTAATATTTACATATTCAAGATTTCTGGGTATCTGTATATGTAAAGATTGGAACAAAAAAGAAATAATTAATTTGTGAAGGCCATAGACGTGTTACTGTAACGAGTTTGGTTGTTACATTGTTGCCAGTTGCTGAAGACTCACAGACATATTTGGACCACGTTCTGTTTTGGATCTAACTCTAAACCGTGTTGCTTAAGTTTTCGTTGTGGAAGGTCATTGTTTCTCGGTGGACTAGGATGTGTTTGGGCAATCTTTGCATGTTTACTCCTGTGTGGAGATCTATGTTATGTCAAATCCTCCTGTTGGGTGGAATGTTAATATGATAGGGAACCACCTCTTCTTACTCATATCATGATTCATGACTTGGTTGTTGTTGTATCAACGCTTTTGAAGTTCCCCTAATTATCAGCTCTTTCCGGTTCTGTGTTGCTACCTTTGCTTTATTAGCGGTCGGTTGTGCTTTAAGGATCTCTTTGGAAGGCTTCCATGTTTATCAATTGTTTTGTTTAGCGTTGTGGCAGAAATTTTATGGCAGAGGCTTTGTTTGTTTCGGTGTTGACATGTCAAAAGTTTTGCAGCTTGGAGGTTTGTCTCTCTTGCTAATGAAGCCGAAACCCTGATTATTGGAGCATCATGTATGCTTTATTGCCATCATCTCCCTAGGCAGTTATGTTGGCGTCGAGTTCAGAGAACGTCTCTATGCCTGTGATTGTTTAAGTATGATGGCTGTTCTTGTACGTAGTTAATGTATTTCTCATTTTGCTAGTAGCCAGACCCGGTTTTAGTTCAAGCCGGATGAAACATTTGCTTATGATCCTCAATAGTAGCCGTTTTCGTAGATACAATGACTTTGTTATCATATGTTGTGAACTCTTTCTCCATGGTTGGAGAATAAGCCATTTACTGAGAGCTTTAGTTGACAAATTTTTTTTCATAAGTTAAGTTATTTTTAATTTTATTACATTTTCAAGTAGAAAATAGAAGTAATAGTAAAAGTAAATGCATTGGTCTATTGTTAAAATAATCTCATTTTACTCGATTATGGATTATATTAGCAAATGTAGTGGGATTGAAAAAGATTTTATTGCAACTTATATTTTCAAGTGAAAATAGTTGGATATGCTCTTACATACTCCGCTTTTGTTGAATACGATCAATCAGTTAATTTTCCCAAATGAATAATGTTTATGAAAGAAAGATGGCTTAAATTTGAAATTGAGGCTTTGTAATTCTAGAAAAAGAACAACGAGAGTTAAATAGAGCAAAGACTTTTAAGTCATTGAACAGTTTCTATCAAGATAACCAACAACGTATAATAACAGAAATCAGAAAATTTGAAATGTGAAACGCATTACCATAACGTTATTTTTAAGCAAATCATATTAAGATAATCAAACGGTAAAGAATTAAAGACAAGTTAGATTTGAGTATTAATTTAAAAATAAGTCGATAAGAATGATCTGAATAAATATTTATCTCATTATCCAAAATAATAGCACAGTGGATTACGTCAAACATGCCAAAAACTTATCTTTTGCAAATTTTCAACAAAAATTTGTTCTAATACGTTTTAATATGACTTATATGGAGTATTATCTTTGTCAATAAAAGAAATGCATTCTTATCACTTAGGGGATGCTATTTAATCCGAAGTCAAAGACTTCTTTTATATTTATATTAATATCTGGATTTTATTTTCTTGACCAAATTTGAATAAACATTAGCAAAACATAAAGTTTTTAAGCTTAGAGTACCCAAAAGTAAAATTACAGGATCTATTTATATAAAAAAAATTATTTAATACCTATTCGTTTCAATTTAGTTATCGTTGTAAAGTAAAATTTTTATTTTCAAAATAAGTGTTATTTTATGATTTTAATGTAAATTTATTAATTTTATATGCTATTTTATTTTTATTGGTTGAAATGTAATTAAGTTTAATAATACTTTTATTTTTAAAAATATAAAAAATAAATATTTTCTTAATTTATGTATACAAATCTAAAACGACAACTAAAATGAAATGGAGAGAAAAATAATTTAACATTGTACAATAGAAACTTTTAGAAAATTTATCATATACATACAATATAATATTTTAAACTAATTTATATTAATCAGTCGAAAATAAGGTAGATAATCGCTAAAAACACTACGAATTAAAATTAGTTATTTATCTATACTTATCCCTTTTACACCCAAAAAATATCTATACTTATCCAAATTGATCAGCGTATTTATCCTTAGTCAAATATACGTTTCCAAAAAACTCTCAGTTAGTAACCGAAGAGATATTCTCAAGCCATTATAAATAGGTTCTCTCTATCATTCACTTTTCACATCAAAAGTTTTTCATCTCTCTCCTTTAATTATTCTATAACCGTTTTCATTTAGCAATGGAGTTGGATCTTTCACCTAGACTACCGAAGAAAGTGTACGGAGGAGACGGTGGTTCGTACTTTGCATGGTGCCCTGAAGAGTTGCCCATGCTACGTGATGGCAACATTGGAGCCGCTAAGCTCGCTCTCGAGAAGTATGGCTTAGCTCTTCCTCGTTACTCTGACTCCTCCAAGGTCGCTTATGTTCTTCAAGGTCCGTTTCTTATTATATATTCATTCCCTTTGATAACGTCACTCTCTTGTTTTATGCAAAGTTTGCAATGTTTTTTGTAATTCGTCTGTTTTGATTTAATGGGTTTGATGATCAGTTTCACAAACTGAGATTAAAGTATTGTCTCTTTTTTGTAACATTTGTCAGGATCTGGAACAGCTGGAATTGTTCTCCCTGAAAAGGAGGAGAAAGTGATTGAAATCAGGAAAGGAGATTCCATAGCTATACCTTTCGGTGTAGTGACATGGTGGTTCAACAATGAAGACACTGAGTTGGTCATCCTCTTCCTTGGTGAGACTCACAAGGGTCACAAAGCAGGACAATTCACCGAGTTCTACTTAACCGGATCCAACGGAATCTTCACCGGTTTCTCGACCGAGTTTGTAGGCAGAGCATGGGATCTCGATGAGACCACAGTGAAGAAGCTTGTCGGGTCTCAGACAGGAAACGGGATCGTCAAGGTTGATGGGGCTTTGAAGATGCCTTCACCGAGGAAAGGTGACAGAGAAGGGTTTGTGTTGAACTGCTTGGAGGCTCCTCTTGATGTTGATATTAAGGATGGAGGAAGAGTTGTTGTGTTGAACACAAAGAATCTTCCTTTGGTTGGTGAAGTTGGATTTGGTGCTGATCTTGTGAGGATCGATGGACATTCCATGTGTTCTCCTGGATTCTCTTGTGACTCTGCTCTTCAAGTTACTTACATCGTTGGTGGTAGCGGTCGTGTTCAGGTGGTTGGAGCTGATGGGAAGAGAGTTCTTGAGACTCATGTGAAGGCTGGTGCTTTGTTTATTGTTCCTAGGTTCTTTGTTGTTTCCAAGATTGCTGACTCTGATGGCTTGTCTTGGTTCTCCATTGTGACCACTCCTGAGTAAGTTCTTTTTCCCTATTTTTTTTTTATATCTGATTTTGGTTGATTTTCTTAACAAGTTTTCGTGAATGTTTTTGCAGTCCCATTTTCACTCACTTGGCGGGTAAGACATCTGTGTGGAAGGCATTGTCGCCGGAGGTTCTGCAGGCGGCGTTTAAGGTTGCTCCGGAGGTGGAGAAGGCTTTCCGATCTAAGAGGACTTCTGATGCCATTTTCTTCCCTCCTCCCAACTAGTTTGTGAACTAAGCTTTGGTGGTTTAGTTTGGTTTGTGGTTTAAGTGTGTTTTATCTTCTGGTTGTTTTTATGGACTATGGTGCTTTCTTCTCCTTGTTACCATTTGAATAAATAAGAAAGGATGAAAAACTTCTTTTAATTGATTCTCAGATACTTTTATATTTCCTTGAAAATGTTTCAACCAAAACTTGTTGCTGTGCTTTATTGTATACATCGAATAACGGCTACGGTCCATGAGTAAGTAGGCTGTTTCCACTCCTCTGATACTTGTTGAATAACTCAATTTTTATTCTCGTTCTATCCGTTGCAAAAGATGAGGAAACGAAAAAACATTATGACAGTTATATCTGATATATAGTTTTTTTTATTCACGAAGCTTCTATTAACTTGAGCACAACTCTTATCTTAACCAGGATTTCTGTATTATTCATTTATAGTTGTATTCTTTAAGGGCTTCTTGGAGATTTAGGAAGGTGTCTACTAAGCGTGAGAGAAGAAAATGCAGCCAATGATCATATAGAGTTGGATAGGCTTTAGTCTTTAGGTAATTTGACGAATTACTATTCAAATCCTGCGGAAAAGTTATAGATTATTTTTAAATGGTTTTTGTATGTTTCTTCTCCAAAACCAAACCACCAGATAATGGAAATAGCTATATCACCTGCTCCATTTCATCAACTCCATCTTCTTTTTTTTTTTTTTTGTAACACTCAACTCCATCTTCTTTTAACCATTTAATTCGTATATATTCATTTTTGTCTGTGTTACAAAAGATCAATCTTGTCTATATATATATACTTCCAGAGTTTGCTTATCATTTAATTCAAACAACAATCTCTTCTCTGATCATATTTTTAATTTAATGGCAGGTCAAAATGTACTCCCTTTCTTGGTCATAGCCCTCTTTGTTACTTTCGCAGCTGCTGGTCGGTTACTTGATGAAGAAGAAACATTCCCAGCCACAACTACCCCTGGCTCAGGTCCCTTCCCTGGTCCTTTACCAGCTTCTGGCTCAAATTCTGCTGGAACTGGCTCAGGTGCTGCAGGAACCGGTTTTGGTGCAGGAACAGGATCATTACCATCAAGTGGTTCAGGTCCTACTGCCACCAGTTCCGGTGCAGGAACAGGGCCAGTCTCATCAAGTGGTTCAGGTCCTTTGACTACTACTGGTTCTGGTCTTCTTCCAATCGCTGGCTCTGTTTCTGGTCCTGTACCGGTTGGTGGTGGTCCAGGTTCCTTGCCTGCCACTGGTCCCGGTCCTTTACCAGCTGCTGGTTCTGGTGCTCTACCGGCTGGTGGTTCAGCCACCAGTCCTGGTGTAGGTACCGGCCAAGCTCTTGGTGGTGGGGCAGGTGCTGGTCCAGCTCTTGGTGGTGGTGGTGTAGGTCCTGACCACACATTAGTATTTTTTATGCACGACATACTCGGCGGTTCAAATCCCACCGCTAGAGCCGTAACAGGAGTCGTTGCAAACCCGGCTTTAAGTGGTCAACTCCCATTCGCTAAACCCAATGGCGCAAACCTTCCCATAAATAACGGAGTTCCATCTAACAACAACAACAATGGAATCGTCAACAACAACAATGTGCCACTTCTCGTTGGACTCGGCGGAACCACAGCCAACATTCTCCAAAACAACGGAAATAACGGAAACAACAACCTTTTAAACGGTCTACCAGTTGCTAACGGTGGTCAGCTCCCAAGCGGTTCTGCTCTACAGATGCTTATGTTCGGAACGATGACTGTGATTGACGATGAGCTAACCGAAGGGCATGAACTTGGGTCTGGTCTGCTCGGGAAAGCGCAGGGGTACTATGTAGCGAGTGCGGTTGATGGAACTAGCCAGACGATGGCGTTTACTGCCATGTTTGAGAGCGGTGGCTATGAAGATAGTATAAGTTTCTTTGGTGTTCATAGAACAGCGGCTTCCGAATCGCATTTAGGAGTTATGGGAGGTACCGGGAAGTATGTGAACGCGAGAGGATTTGCGATTGTGAAGACGTTTACAGGATCAAGCGGGACGCAGCAGCAGCAGCCGCATCAGTTCACTGATGGGCTTGAGACTGTTCTCCAATGTACTGTTTATCTATCTTACTAATTGTGCTTTCTTTCTTATGTTGGAGTTTGGGATTGTTTGGTGTGGAGTGTATGTGGTTTATCATTTGTAATATAAATGTGAAAGAGATGTGTAAGAAAATACATGAAAGTGGACTTTGTATTTAATTTTCGTTTTTATTTCTGAAATTAAGATTTCAATTCCATCGGTTATACATTTTGAGGGGAACTCTATGCAAACAAGAGAAACGCTTAGATAAGTTTTTTAATAGTAAAGAAGGGTTAGTTAGGAAGTGCATAGTTTAACATGGTAAGCCTAAGCTTTAATGATAATGAAAATGCATTAGACCTCGAGAGAGTGGACAACAGTGTTAGGCACCTGTCTAATGGATGAGCTTTGAATGGGTACTTATATTGTTTCCTTATAAATACTATGTAATTACTGAGCTTAAAATAATTCAACAATTTGATTATATCATTTCAGTCTCTACGAGTTGGCTATGCAAATCGAACAACATATTTTCAAAGCCTCAATGAATGGTTTGATAATTTTTTTTTTTTAGGAGTTTGGTTTCTTCTGCAGTAAACCCATACACTTAGATGTTACCTTTCCTTTCCAGTTTGCATTACCTTTTGAGAATTCAAGCTACATCTCACTCACTCCACGGACGGGCTTGGGGTCTTATATCTAAGTATTTTAGGGATCAAAATTTTCAAAGAAAAATATGTAATTGTATAGTAGTATTTTCTCTAATTCGCTGCTTGGTTATCACAGGCTGAAATCCTGTTTCCTACACAGCAATTAAATTTCTCTTAAGATATCAACGATAGGTTTCATACAGTTTTGGTTTGGAAGCTTTTAATTTTCAGAGGGGTTCTGGACACAAATATCATACTTCAGTCTGTTATGCATAAACCAGCATAAGTTTTGGGGCACTGCCTATGGTGCAAATGCACAAGGTCCTCACTTTTTCATTAAACTTTTGCACTAGGGTTCTAAATTTGTAAGTTCTTATAAAATTAAGGGTCCAGTTTTTAAAATCATCTAGCATAGAAAAAAATATTTTGGCACAGAGCACCATTTGGTGAACGGCTAAAACAATAAAAAGTACAAAATGGGGATGTAGCTCAAATGGTAGAGTGCTCGCTTTGCATGCGAGAGGCACAGGGTTCGATACCCTGCATCTCCATACTCTTCTTTAATATTTTTAACCAAAAAGAAGTTGAATACTTCGAGCATAAATGGTTCAAGTGAAATGTGTTGTGTATCTCTCTCAAATAAACAGAGCATACACAAAGCCCGGCAGTTTCAACATGTTAACATTCCTCATATACTAATATCATGCTGTTGTATGAAACGAAAATAGCTAAAACTAAGTGAATGCTGGCTATATTGCACTTTCGGTTTTTGTTGATATTTTAGAGAAGAATAGTCGTGTGATTGCTGCTACTTGTTATTGTCATTAGAACATCCTAGAAAGAACGCAATATCTGACAGGGCAAAGTAATCATCTTATAAGCTAGTATATAAACATCCACAAAAAATTGAGCTAATTGATGAAAGGCTATCACAGTCTCAACAATATGGTTGTAAACTTGTAATTGATGAAAGACTATTGTTGATATTGGAGTTATCACTAAATCCGTCCCGCCAAAAGAATAAGAAAACCGGCTAACGACTATTGGTACCGGATTCGCCACCGAAGCCATTCCACCACAAGCTGTAGGCCGTTAGTGGTTGTACCATGTTTTGGTTCAATAAACGGTTTAGCGATTAGATCAAGATATTGACTATATCTATGGTCAAAGATATCCATGAGCTTCACACTTCTTAAAGAGGGGAAGTTGGTTTAAGTCAAGGAATCACGTGCAACAAACTAGAGGAGACGTTACGAACTTGTAGGCAACAAACAACTCCTATAAAAGAAAGAAGATGCTACATTCATAAGGATCTTCTTCCATCTTCCACTTTTACAAAGAATAACCGAATTATAATAAAAATAGAGAAGGAATTACGTACAATCCCATGATGACCTAAGTCCTCCACCTTTTCATTAATTAATGAAAAGAAGAAAGGTGTGTCTTTACACGTCTATATCAAAAGCAAATACGGAAGCGTATGGTTAAAAATCCGAACATCTCTGAGACGATGAGATCGAACCCCGTTCATGTTAATGAATAAAGAATTGAGCTCTTTTCCATGCGAAGCTGTTATTTCATGAACCCGACGTCTCGAACAACCGAAACCAACTCCTCATTCGAGATGATTATAATCGAACTACGTTTAGACTTGATCTCTTGACGGGTACGTAGGCAGCTCGATCCCGATTTCAGTCACGATCCTTTCCTCCTCCAGATATCTCTATGATATTCGACATGCGAATACAGTCCATTTTCGTCGACTCAGGCCTTATTACATCGTTGTGTTCTGAGGATATCATTTCCCGCATTATCTTTTCCCAAGTTTACATCTCAAACACTATCAAATACTTAGTGTAGATTTTAGGATCTACATTTTGACGCCAACTGTGGGGAAGAGAAACAAAGAACATCCTTACTTGGAACCCGATTTAAGGCTTGTAAGCACAAAAATGGATCCAGTTCATATGGTATCCGGTACCGCAACAAACAAACCATCACACCATGATGGCATCGATCTTACTAGATCAGAAACGAGAAACAAAATATGATATTTGATCCCGACCTCAGTGTAGATCCTAAAATCCACACTCAGTATTTTGTAGAGATCGAGAGTTTAATCAGGGGAAGACAAAGGATGTGGGCAACAATTCTCTTAAACACAACGATATAATCGGACTTTAGTTGAAAAATGGACTTTTATTGAATTTAGAATTCATTTACAAAGAGATGAACAAGATCGGAAATAACAACAAAGAGTACAAGAAAGCAAACTAGAAATCTAAAGAAATGAGGTCGATGTGATTAGTGAATAACTCTTGGGTTTTTCTCTTCCTCCTGAATGTCCTTCCTAGCTCTCTTTTTATAGCCCTTCGTCCTCTATCTGCATCCGCGATCTCCGGGACCTCATACCAACCTCGTGGAGTCCGCTGGTCACGATGTGATGATAAAACTTGGGCCTGGGCCTTGTTTTGGACATCGGGTTCAACTCCGTTATTCGTTGTACTTCCTCAAACTTTCTTGTTTACTTATTTGACGAGCTTGGACTTAATGAGCCCGATTTCGGGTCCAACATTTGCCTCCCAACCTTTTTAGTTTAGAGAAACTGAAGAGGTGAGAAGATAATTATAATCGTTTGTCATCGCCCATCTTAGAGAAAGCGGAGCCACATGTATCGTCCTTGTCGGCCACTTTCCTCCATCGTGCGGTTGAGGTTGTTCGTCGACGTCATCTGCTTTGGGAACCTTTTTTAGATCCTCATTAAATAGGTTATCTTCTTCGTTGAGAGCAGCCACTCTCTTCTGATTTCTTTGAATCTATTTTTCTTCTCTTGCTTCTCAGTTTTAATTTTGCGATATCTCAATGGCAAATGTTCGGTTTCTTCCTCATCTCCCAACTATCATCAAGGGAAAACATCTCGATAGCATTCATGAGTTGTGGGGAATACCCTACGAGGTGAAAATCCCGAGATCATTCGCGATGGGTACTGTGGCGCTTATGTGACGCATTTTAAAGATTGCGGTCTGTCGTTCCCACTTTCTCCATTCCTCCTTGACTCTTTGCTGAGATGGGAATGGCTTTTACTCGCGTGTGCCCCAAATTTCTTCGCTACTTTCTAGGTTTATGGGTTCGAGCTCAGGAGGAAAGTCTCAGGTTTGGTTTAGAGGAACTAAAACAACTTTACACGGTTAAGCATAACGCTCGTTTTTCTGGTACTTACCTTCTTTCTCTTCGCTTTGGTCGCGCTGTCATCGAGGGTATTCCTTGTCGAGATGACAAATAAAGGGAGAAATTCTTCGTTTTCAAGATAGACTCGGCTTCGGTTGGAGACTTCGACTTCAATCGACTTCCCCGCGATTGGTGTGGAGATATAGGTTCGTCCTTCTTTACATCGAGTGTTAATTCTTTTGTTCATATTACTTTCTTCTTACGTCTTCGTTTTATTCCTCGTAGATGCAGAGCTTTTCGGAGGCTCCTCGATGACACTCGAGCTTTGGGGCTTGGTAGAGACTCTTCACCGAGGTGAAACTCGCTGGTCTTCCTTCACTGTGGAGCGCATTAAGGCTGCTCTTGCCCTTCCTCTGGGAGAAGGTCGAGCTGAACCCGTTGGTTTAACGATCTCGACTCGCCCACGGGGTGGTCGTCTTAGTGAGTTATTTCTCTCTTCAAATCTTTTTAGTGCTGAAAATTGCTTTCTTTACCGAATCATATGCGTTGTTTTTTGCTTTGTTTTGTTTACCTGTAGGGGTAAGGAGGAGGAGTCCTTCCCCTGGTGGCTTCGATGCGGATCCCGAGGTCGAGACATCGGAAAGGGCTCAGAAATCTCTTTGTGGTCCTGTTTTTCGCTCGAGGTTGAATGTTTGATCTCTTGGGATTTTTGTTCGACCACTAGCTATTGCTCTTCTGACAGCTGAGAATCAAACGATTTCGGCTTGGTCAGCAGAGTCAATGGTTAATCGTCCGGATGAGAGTGGCTCTGTGGCTGGTCGAGCTCGTCGTCAGTACCTTGAAAAGATAATCTCCGAGAGCGTAGACTCATCTGCTTCTGAGAGTTTTTCGGATGGAAGAGCGTCTGGTCAGTCGAGGGTTGAACGAGCTGCTTCCTCCGACGCCTCAAGCCGACGCAGGAGGAAACTTCCCTGAAGATCCTGAGCATATCAAGCATATATGTCACGGAATCAGGTCGGGAGGTTGCGATCTTCCTCCGCTAGATGATATGCGTACTCGAGAAGAGTATGTTCGCATGACGGTCGCAAATGCCAAGGTGAGCGATTCATTTAGCTTTATGTTCGTTCTTATCTTTTCTAACAATTCACCTGTCGGCAGGCCATTGAGACTTGCAACAAGTATGCTGCGATGGTGGAGTAGCGTTTTGCCGGTCTTCCTTACCAGGAAGACGTTGAAGGATATCAGAAACAGCTGAGGATGAGCTAGACTCAAGACGCGTCGAGGAAATTCTGAACGGCAGGTCGATTGAGCTCGAGAGGGAGAAGTCTGTTCTCGAGAACAGGATGTAGGAGGCTGAGCAGGCGAAGATCGCGCTTCAGGAAGAGGT